GGGTATCGGTATTTACTGGCATTGACAGATACATTTTCAGGGTGGCCAGAAGCATTCCCCAGAACTGTCAAAGCTAGAGAAGTGACCAGAGTATTATTACAAGAAATAATACCACGCTTCAGAGTTCCAGCCACAATATCCTCGGGTAGAGGATCACATTTCATTTCCAAAATAGTGCAACAGATTAGTAGCCACCTGGGCATAGACTGGGAACTTCACACCCCATACCGCCCCCAATCAAGTGGCCAGGTGGAGAAAATGAAACATTTGATTAAACAGCAAATCATAAGACTGGGGCAGGAAGTTAATCTACCCTGGCCCCAAGGTCTTCCACTAGCACTATTGGGAATTCGAACTAAACCTTGAGCTAAAGAAAAGTTGAGCCCTTTTGAAATACTCTATGGAAGACCATATGGAATACAAAAGAGAATGTCCAACCACATTGGAGAGGTAACACTAGCCACCTACATGGTGGCCTTAAACAAACAGCTCAGAGAAATTGAGAAACATGTGGCTGGAACTCGGAGCCAGGAGTTAGATGGGCCAGTACATAACATACAACCTGGAGATTATGTATATGTTAAGTCTCTTACAGAAAAGACCTTGGAACCACAGTGGGAGGGACCATTCCAAGTGCTTCTTACCACCTTCACTGCAATCAAAATCAAGGAGCAGAACGCCTGGATTCATCACTCTCGGGTGAAGAAGGCCCAGAAGCCCCTTGAGGAGTGATGCCAGGAGACAATGGACTGAGACTAAAACTTACTCGGGCCTAACAAAATTGAAACAGCCTTTACAGTCATCTCTATTGGCATTAGGAAGTAGCCAGTGGCAGATTTCAAAAGTACTGGCAAAGTGGGAAACAGCCGGGGACCAAGACCACAAGTTAATAGTAGAAGCACTTAGTACAGTTCAAGATAATGTGTCTTTAGCTTTCATTTGTATACAAGCACAGTTATGGATGCAGGCAACAGCACCTCTGATCATACGGGAAAGGGGTGAAGGTAATTCTCCAGCTGAAATTCGGAAAACTGTGTGGGATAATGCAATTGATTTTGAAAGGAAGTTTCAATCCTGGTGGACTATGGTGAATTTCACCTATGATCCTGCTTCTAATGTGGCCACTGCCTTTGTGTTTACCATACGTAATGCCACTGTTTTTGTTATCCATCCCATCATTGCCCTAGGATTAAACCATGAAAAAACAATACTCTATCCTTCAGAACATAGAGTGTGGGCACGAAAGATGAATGAAAAGTGGCAGACAGTAAACTTAGAATCCTGCTAGAGAACAGATGGGATTCATTTGTGAAAGCAATACTATTAATGCTCAGGATATGTGTTTGGACACTGAACAGAGTATTTGTCACTTTGAAATTCATCCAGTCACTGACCAGAAATCTGTGCTCGTATATACTGGAAAAGGATGTGTATGCTTGAGAACTGCTTGTGCTGCTGTCCAAATTGATAGCAATTATGTTATTCTGTCTAGTAGAAATCATTCTAATTTCTGTATTTGTAATTTTGTTAGGATTATCAGGGGTGATTTTTTGTACTTGGCCCCAGTGACATCCCACCAGCTGATTATAGCCAATTACACAATGTATCACAGACTACCACCTACCCCTATAGGGATGAACCTTACATTAGTGAAACAATTAATTAAGCACCATGACCTATTGGAAATCTTGAAGGAAATCCAAGAAAGTGGAAAGAAAACCTTAATTACTGTCCAGCATGATAGAAAAGAGATAACCAGAGTTCTACAAAGAATAAAACAAAATATGGATCATCACTGGTGGGATGTGATCTTTGGATGGTCACCAACTGCAAATGGAATCTTTAATAAGTTGTGCCACCCCATTGTAGTTTTGCTAATATTAGTTGGGATAAGCTTAGGATTATCTATTATATTGTTAATTTGGAACTGGAGAATACTACAACGAACAGCTGTACTAACCCCTTTGTCAAACATACATGGTGAAGCATTAAAAGACACTTATTGTCGTGAGGGTTTTCATTAAGTAAAAGAATTTACTTATTTCTAGGAAAGGGAGGAATGAGACAGAGTAGAGATCCATTCTGAATTAGGTGAAGAGTCTAGGAGAGGTGAAAAGTCTGTGAGGCCAAAGCTGAAGGAAAAATTGCATGCCGGAGACAGCGAGGAGGCAGAGAAAAGAAAACAGAAATGACCACGAGGTCACTTTGCCCCCGACCTAGGAATTCCTTTGATAAAGAAGAACTGGCAATAAATGTCACGCGGAATTAATATGTACGAACCTATTGTGAAACTGTATGCATATGCATTTGGAAGGGGGATAAAAGGAGACCTGAGGTCTTCAGGGCTACGCATGCCTTTTGGGGAGGCTTGCGTCCGACGCGCGTCGTAATAAAGGCATGCCAGGCTTTACAACTTTTATAAAGTTGTGAGGTTTCTTCTTTTCTACACAAAACACCTCAAATTCTTGTAATGCAACAAAAATTCTGAACACTTTCCTGGGAATTCTGGGGGCGGATGATGTTTCCAGGGAGTTGGAGGATGCCTGGTCGCAGCATCAGCAACTCAGGGAATCCCAGAAAAAACAGAGAACACGACCGAAGCTGGAAGCTGATCTGATTCCTCCTTCCCGGGTTTCAGGGTGCTGTCCACACTGCCTGGAGAAACCCCAGACATGCCACAAGAAGGGAAGGAACCCCAAACAAAACCCGAGATCCCCCCAGAGGAGGACGAAGGCCCAGCAACACTCGGAATTAAAGTCTCAGAACCAGGTGCTCTGTTTTGTTGTTCGAGAAAGTCTCTATTACAATCATTCTGTTTAAAGCTCTCCATTAAAGCTCTGGAGACAGGCATAAGTTTGACCAAAGTCTCTTCCTTTTTGAGAGGGACCAGATTGTAAATTTTCCACTTGATCTGGTTCCAGAAATCAAAGGTAAAAGCAGACTTCAAGTCTGTATTTTGATTATTCACTTTTACCCAGATTAATGTCTTCTAGTTCATGTTTTGAGATGTCTGAACATCCTTTATCCTAAAATTGCTTCTGGTAAAAGATGTCCCATTCTGGTTTAGAGAGATGGTTTTCCATCTCGCTGCCCAGGAGCCCCTAAAGTTGCTACTTATTACTGACAAGGATACAGACGACAAAGGGGACGATCCATTCCTCCTTTTAACAGCCTGGGCCTCCGGCAATGGCACTGCCCATGGTCTTCTTTTTATTTTTATGTTCCTCTAGGCTAGAAATCCTCCTCACTGAGGAGCGGCTTTCCCAAAACCCTCTGATTTAAAGGATTCCTACAATATACTATGTAATATACATATTTTAATATATGTACTGCAACAATATATAAAATCTATACTTGATCTTTTTCTAAGCCAGCAGGCCTTTGTAGCTAGTTCTGAGCCAACATGTGGGTCTGCTGCCAGCTCAAGTCTGTGCTTCCCTTTCCCAGCCCGAGTGCAGGTGGGGCTTGTCCTGGGCATGGCTGGAGATTTTCACAGCCAGAATCCTCCAGCATTTACAAGACACCCATCTCACTTGACAAATGGCATTTCTTACAAATTGCTACACCAACGCTGACAAGATAGAACAGATCTCAGTTAAAGAATGTAATTTATTTAACTGTTACACCACACTATTTAAGCACATAGAAATAACAACTTCTGTTAACAAAAGTAAGTTATTGAAAACCCCTACAAACACTCACTGTACGCAGAGATCAAGAGAAAATTAAGAACTTAATTTCTTGCATATTTCAACAAGCATACACCCCATATAAAAATTCAAAAAATATCAGTATCTCTCTCTATTACCAAGAACTCAACAAATAGAGTTACGCCATACACATTTAAATTGAACTGAATACATATACAACTACCACAATATATTGATGTGAATACAGATTAAATGTTACCTATTACATTCCAGAAACAGATACATAACACAAACCTATCCTTAAAGAGACAAACAGCACTACCAATCTAAATATCTGTACAGCTGCAAATATGCAAATATAAATACAAATATACAGCTATACATCTGGATATATATGTAAATACAATATACATAGAAATAGATCAATATACATCTCAAAATATAAAACCAGACATATATACCAATAAAAATACCAATTTAGCTATTTAAAAAGACATATACGAAAAACTACATCAATATTGTGTATACAATACATTGTATTGTATACACATTGTATTGTGTATACAATACAATGTATTGTATATGCAATATTGTGTACACAATATAGAATATTGTGTATACAATACATTGTATACACAACTGTATACAAATGGAAATCACAGATATTACACTACACATAAAGAACTAGATACACTGTTGTGTTGTGTTGGTCTGTTCCGTTCCCCCTCTATGTTAAAATGGTTCTGCCCTGGTTCTTCCTCCCCTCCCAGTTACTGCCAGTCACCCCAGTTATTATGACTACCATTGTATCTATTTTAAACCGTTCCCCAGTTTCCCCAATAAGCCAATGTATCCCTTCCTCAACCCCACCCCGGTGCCCTGCCAGTCACTCCCTGCCACCACCTTTTTCTCCAGAATCTGCTGCCTAGGGCTCAGAGTGATTGGTTCAGGGGCTGGGGCCCTTCTCTTAAATTGTTTTCATTGGTGTTTCCTTTGTGTCAATCCTATGTACCCCACTCCTCCCTGGATTCCCATTTGCTCCTGACCTGGTTCCACCCCTGTACTCCCCACCCTTTATAAGTTCATGTAACCCTCCCTCTCTCTCTTCAGTTGCTGGCCTCCCTGGGACACTCAATAAACCTGGACTTTGCCCTGACCAAAAAGCGTTCTCTTCTTTCTATCCTGTTGACCGCAGCCACTCCTTGGCCTTGTCCTGCACCTGGCAACATCCTCAGCTATGGCGCTGGGCACTTGCCTGAGGCGCTGACCCAAAGCCGGGCTATCGGGTTAAGTGCCCCCTGTGCTGCTAGCTGTGCTGATGAGCTAGCTGGGATGCATTTCTCTGGCCAGACAGCTGCAGTTCTGGCACCCAATGTGGGGCCCTGAAGGCTTCCAAATCCGGGTCATCGTGGACCTGAGCGCTTCGCCGGACCCCATGGACGAGGCTGATTAGCCGCGGAACTACCCCTGGGTTGAGCAGACCCCGTTCTAGTGGGTGGGGCTCCCACAGGATCGGGAATGGCAGCTCCGTGCACCCAGGAGTCGTTCCCCCAACAGGACCACCACTCCAGTTTTTCTTTTCGCCCCCGCCGGAGTTTTGTAAGTCTTTCTCTTTTCTCTCTCCCTGTCTTTTTAATCTATTTACCCTTTGGGGCCATATTTTCTCTTTCTGCTGCGCAGATACTTGTCTCTGACAGGGGCTGGTGCAGGGCTTGTGCTGTTTTCTTTACAATTCCCTGAAATGGTGGGTGGATTGAGTTGCCCCTTTTAAAATCTCTTAGCCATGGGTGCTCAACTTTCTGCAACCCAAAAGAGAGCTACTAACCAAGTTGTGGGTATCCTTGCCAGAGAGGGATTTGTCATTCCCAAAAAAAAAAAAATAAGGAAATCATTCAAATGGTTGTTTTCCCAATTTCTGGAGATTTCCCCCCAAAAAATTTGTGACCCTGATTTCTGGGAAGCTGTTTCTATCAGATTGCAAAATTCAATACAATTAGGGGATTTCTCCCTGGCGAAAATTTCTTACTGACCCCTTCAGATCAGAGCCCTGTTACTATCCGGGCCAAAATTGAGAGAACAACCCTCAGTTTCTAGTTTGTTCCCCAGTTCTACCTCTACCCCTACTCCTAGCCCTTTTCCCTCCCCTGCTTGCCCCAAGACTGGGATTCTGAGAGGAGCAGCCCACTCCAGCACAGTGCAGGGTGTCCACCCCTCCCCTGACTTCTCTCAAATATCCCATTCCCCCCGCCCTAAGAGTCCTAGCCAGACCCTTAGGGGATCTTTCCCTTCCACCTCTCTCCCAACTTTGTTTAAGTTGGATTGTTCTGTCCCCACTATGTTAGAATGGTTCTGCCTGGGTTCTCCCTCCCCTCCCCATTATGTGCCAATCTCCCTGGTCCCCATGGTTGCGAATGTATCCATTTACACTCCTCCCCAGTTACCCCAGCAACCCAATGTATCCTTCCCTCGACTCCACCCCACGGCCCTGCCAGTCACTCCCTGCTCACACCTTTTCATCCAGAAACTTCTCTCCAGGGCTTGGAGTGATTGGCTTAGGGACTGGGGCCCCTCCTTTGAGTTGTATCCATTGGTTTTCTTTGAATGTCAGTCTTATGTACCCCACTCCCCCCTGGATTCCCATTCGTCCTTGTACCGGTTCCACCCCTACCTCCCACTCCCTTTATAAACCTATGTTGCCACTCCCCTGGTCTTTTCATTTGTTGGCTTCCCTGGACTTTATTAAAACCCGGACCTGCCCTAAATGGAGAGAACTCTTTTATTCCTGTTCGTCACAGCTTTTACTCGGTCTCATCCACACCTGGCGGCACCTGCAGCCATAGCGTTGGATGTCTGCCTGATGCGCTGTCCCGAAGCCCGGCTATCAGGATGGGTGCCCCCCGTGCTGTTAGCAGTTGCTGGCCGGCTAGCCTGGGCGAATAATATCAAGGCCGTCGCCGCTGCACCGTTAGAAGACCCTCAGTTCATTTTCAGCTCCCTCCACAAGATGGGTCCCATGGAGCCCAAGATGGAGGCAGCCACATGGTTCTTCCCACCTTTTTTTCCTTCTCTTCCCCACAATCCTTTTAGGTCCAGGAAAATCCCCTTCCTGTTCCTTGACCCCTCCCCATTTCCTCCCACTCTTCCTCCCTCAGTGACTCCTCCCAGCTCTCCTCCCTCTTTCCAAGCCACACCCCCTGATGCCTCCCTAGGGGCGGGACCCTTGTCACCTGATATCCCTGCCCCGTCCTCTGTCTGGTCCTCCAGCCACTCCCCTCCCCCTCCCCCTACTGGTTCCCACGCTTTGGGGGCTGGGAGGGGGGGTGGCTGGAGAACGGTGATCCGGAGCCAGTTTCCATTCCATCTGCGGCTCCGGTCACATACCACCCTGAGGGGGAAGGGCCCAGTGGACCCCTTTTCCCCACCACCAAATAAAGGAGCTCTGCAAGGCCCAAAAGGATTTTATCCGGGAGAGTGAATACTTCCAGGGGATCCTGAGGGCCACTCTATCAGGCTTGGAGATCACACCCTGTGATCTCCAGAGCCTTTTCTCATGCCTCCTCAACCCCATGGAATTCGTGGTGTGGGAGGGGGTATATAAGAGTGAGGTGGTGGGGATCCTCCCCTCCTTGTGGGAGAACCCTTGCACAGGGTGAGACCGGTACGGGGAGCTTGTCTCCACTAACCACCTTTGCGGGGAGGGGAACTGGGCAGACGGGCAATCCCAGGCTAGAGACATCCCGCCTGAGGTTTTAAAGGAGAGTGCCAAAGCGGCAGAGAGGGCTTTCCTGAGGTTGCCGGGGGCAACTCTAAGATCTTGCAGCATGCTGTCACGCCGTTTATCCCGTTTGTCGAGCGTCTCCAAAAGGTGATTGAAGCATAGGTGCAGGGTGAGGAGACCAGAAGGAAGCTGCTCGAAGAAGTAGCTTCCACTAATGCCCACCCAGCATGCAGGGATGCCATCCTCAGCCTGCCGCTGGATCCTCCTCCCACCCTGCAGTGCATGCTTGAGATCTGCGCGCAAAAAGTCGCCACCACTTCCGGAGACCTCGACCACAGGGCCAGACCACTGCCTGGGCATGTTGCCACTGCGGACTCCTTAGACGCCGCTTCCAACGATCCTGTTTCCGCTACTCCTCTGTTGGACCATCTGCCACTCCCAAGTACCCCTGGCCCAACCCAAAGGAAGCCTTCCCCATGCCATCTGTGTGGGAAGTTAGGGCACTGGATGCCCGATTGTCCTTTAAGGAAACAATTTTGCGAATTTAGGAAAGGGCAGGGAATTCGGGGGGACCCCCTACAAAAATCTAAGATCAGAATGCAGTCGCCCCCTGTGTGAAGATATAAATAAGGCGGGTTTTGTACCATCTTGTGGGGAGGGGAAAGAGGAAGAACCGCCTGCTGCCACAACTGGACATGACTTTTATAATACCGGACTTGTCTTGCTTATCATGCCTCCTACCTGTGCCAATATTAATCACCTCATCTAAAACGGTACCTTTCAGGCTGCAGCTGATGGAGCCGCTACACCTCAAGGACTCCAATTTCCATCTGGTCTCCGTGTGCCCGGAGTGCCCAGGTAAACTGGGGACAGATCAGCTGTAAGTATGTAGTTGTCGGAGACACAAAGTGCACGTCACTGGAGATAAACATTGTCACTGGTCTCTTAACATCGGACCTGGGGCAATTTTCGATGGGGCTGTACTGTGTCCATCCTCCCCTCTTCCTGCCCAAGGGACAGATCATCACTCAGGCCATTCCAGTGCCTGAGCTGACCTGGGTCCCAGGACTGCCTTCCACACCAGCTCAAGACATATATCCTACGGTGGCCTGGGCTCAGGTCCGTGGGCGGGAGGAACCTAGACTAACATGTCAGCTTTCGAGGGTGTGTGAGAGTCTGTCCGAATTTTCCCTCATCTGCCTCACGATTGTCCTTGGGAGACCACTGAAGAGAAGACCCCCCCCTGTCTAGAATATCTGGCTCTGAAGGAGAAAAGTCACATGCCACGGGCCCTGAGACCTGAAAGCTCAGTGTTAAGCTATTGTTTTCACAGGTGTGTTTGTTGTGTGCTAAGAAGGGGGCACCGTGCCCTGTTTGCAACAATAGCAGCTTTGGAAGCTGTCCCACCTCTTGGCCTGGCTGGACTTCTCCTGAATTTCAGGTGGTCTCCCACAGAAGACCCTCACCTGTTTAACAACCACCGTGACAGACAGACTGAGATGTAAGAAGCTTCTCCATCAAGGACTGAGACATGAAACTCCTAAAAGGCCCCTCTGCTCCTTCCAAGGACTGGGACTGAAACCGCCAACCTGGGGGAGGTGTGTGGGGGAGGCAAGCTGACCAAACTGAGATGTTTGCCTGCAGGTTGTGATCACTGAACCAAGAAAACAATGGGTGTCGTTTACTGCTGAGAACATAGATTATCTGTTACATCTGTTCCCTATTGTATCTGTTCCTCCCCACACACGCACGCACAATTTTCAGTAATAAAAATTTCTGAGTTAGCTAGAACCTTTGAGATCTCCCCAGCGTAGCAGGCAGACCCTCGACTGGACTGGACCAAAGGACTTCGTCTCTGTGTTGGTAGCTATATCCCCTCTCCCTCTCTTTCTTCTCTCTCTATCTCTTTCTCTCCCTTGATCCCTCTATCGCATTTTTGCTGTGGTTATTTCAATAAAACTGCATTTGATTTGATTATCACTGCAAACCCCCTGTACCATGTTGGTTTTTGCACTGTGAGATCATTCCTATGAACCATCAGGTCATCTGTTCACTAGGACGGATCCTGAACGTGTGTGAGATCAGAAACCCCTTAAGTGTGTTTTGGACACAGGGGCAGATGTGACAATCATTCCTTCTCAGGAACGGCCGTCACATTAGGAATTGCAGGACATGGCTGGTCACATTTGCAGTGTTGGGGGTTTACAATGGGCCAAACAATCCAAGAGCACCGTGCATTTGCTTGGCCCGGATGGGCAATTGGCATCTATACGCCCATTTGTTTTAGATTATATGGAACCCCTGTGGGGGAGGGACCACCTTGCCCAGTGGGGAGCCCAAATTGACCTTCCAACAAGCTCCCCAGGTTTTTTAGGCAGAGGTCACTGAAGAGCACCCTACCTGGAAATGAATTAGAAATCAGATAAACCAGAAAAGTTAGTGCAGTGGCCACTCAATAAACAAAAAATTGAAGGCACTTAATGAGCTTGTCAAGGAGCAGCTGCTTAAGGACAACCTGGTGAAGACCATGTCACAGTGGGACTTCCCAGTGTTTGTCATTAAGAAACCAAACAAAGATAAGTGGCGGCTCCTTCATGATCTCCGCCAAATTAATAACATCATTCAAGATATGGGTCCCCTCTAACCAGGGATGCTGTCCCCAATGATGCTCCCTCAAGATTGGAATCTGGCAGTTATCGATATAAAGGACTATTTTTTCCAAATTCCCCTTCACC